ATTAAGAAAATTCAAAATTAATGTTCTCTATAGTCTAAACCGATTTACAGTCTCTCCTTGAAAAATTTGATTATATCTTTCCCGCCATATGTAATAAAAACTATATATAAAAGAGAGTTTAGGATCTTTCCGTCTAAATTCCCGCTTGTGGATAGAAAGCTAGTTTATAAGGGCCTGAGTCCAAACATAGAGAATTGTATAGTAATAAGTTTTTTAGTTGTACGCATTGAAGCTACCAAAAATCTAAGGGTGCTAATGTGGTTTGCCGCTCGAGTAGCCCGTGGCTCGGCTCGAGAAAATCCCGAATCGTGTCGTCTCGTGACTTGGTAGAACCGAGCTGAGGCCAGGACCGAACCCCATTTTAGGGCGTTGGCTCGAGCCAGCTCGTGTGTCTCGTCGAGTTGAACCTAAAAAAATAGTAGTCTACAAAACTTTTTTTAACTTTTTAAAAAAAAAAATTTAGAAAAAAATTTTAAAAAATAAAAAGGAGAAAGTTGAAGGCCAGCAGCATAGTTGCCTGCAACAAGGCAGATGTGTAGCTGTCTACCATTGCAGGCAGCAATATCTGCCTTTTTTTAAAGGAAGCTACGTCTGTATATCAATTTATTTTAATCAGTTTAAACTTGCAATATTTTATTTTCAACTTTAAATTAAAAAAAAAATAGCGAGCTAAAGCCTGAGTCGAAAACTCGAGTCAAGCCTAGATTTTTTGCCCGAGCAAAAGCTCAACTCAGGCAAAAAAACCATTTTTACTCAACCCGAGCCCGAGTTTCAAGTTTCGGCTCGACTCGTTGACAACTCTACAAAAATCATACATGTAGAGATTGGATCTCGAGCTGGGAAAACAATGATGGATGAACACGAATAATACCTTTGAACGACCTGGAAAAAAGGCTAGGGGAGTAAGTTCCATAGCCCCTCTAATGCTTAAGTTGGAAAGTTACTGAACTATATATGCGTAAGGCTATAAACTGAATAATGAATGACATACTTAAATAACAAATAAGTGCTTAGTATATAAAATTCGAGGAGGTGTGATTCCATGATAATTAGAACACATGTAGGACACTTATCATAACCAGATAGGAGTAGACTCTTGAAGGCCTTACAACTTGGGATGAAAGAGGATTCCTTATAGGGCATGGACTTTAGGCTTATGTGGAGTTTGAGGGTCGTGACACACTGAGGAAAGGTGACTTGGAGGGCCAACGGAGTGGTCGGGGACATATTACCCAACCCACGCATGGAAAGCCGGCCTGGGTATACGTCGAGGTTGTGTTGTGTGGGAGTTATATAGTATCATCAGACTGTGGGATTCATGACACGTCTAGTGATGCAGGGGAAGCTTATAGGAAAAACAAAAATCTCACAAAAAGAATTTCAATCAAGAGAAATTCAAGAAAAATTTTATTTC